ATAGAGGCGGTCGGGAAGGCAGAGGCGGAAATGATGCGAATGAAAGCCGCGGCCTATAAACAGTACGGAGAGGCAGCCATTCTGTCGCTCACTCTCGAAGCACTGCCAAAGGTATGCCTTTCTGTATAGACTACAGACTGACCATAATATTGATGAATGCTATGCAAACAGATTGCCGCCGAAGTGGCCGCACCTTTAGCTAAGACCGACGAAATAGTGCTCCTCAGTGGCACTAACGGTGGCTTCACTGGAGATGTTACTCGACTCGTGTCTCAAATACCACCCGCTGTTCACGCACTTACAGGTGTCGACCTCTCTAAGGTTTGGCAAATATTTTCTATAAATTTACCCTGTTAAACAGTATAACCAGTAATGTACTGTATGTACTGTAAGCTAGTTTACTGTTACTATCAGCATATATTTGAATGTTATTACCGTACTAATAATTAAAACCCAATTTTACAGGTTTTAGGTAAAATTCCGGGCGCCAAGTGAATGGATAGTCTTATTATTAATTATTAATAACAACAAAATATATTTATATTCAAGTGTTTATCCTATAATGTATATTAATATACAAGAAAATATTGATATGATAATTGTACGGTAATCATTTACAGTAATTGTAAGTTTAATTGAATATTTAGCAAATTCCTATATTTTTCAACATTTATCACAAAACAGTAAATGTTTGTATATTTTGTCACTTGAAATCCAAACAAAGTTGATAACATTTCCAATGAATCCCACAATAGAATATATGCCATAAAGTGTTATTTATTTTGAAATAAATTTAATACATTTATTACAAAATATTTCTAAATTAGCAATTTAATTCAAATTATCATGATGTATGAACTAAATTCCAACATTATTTTGAACCACATTTAACAAATACCTAATTTGTAAGCTTTATATATGAATCATCTTTATTTTACTCAAGAATTTTAAAAGATTTTATATAAATATTTAGGAATTTATGCAAAGCTTTTGTATCTCAAGTCTATGAAAATAGTGTAATTTTTATCTGAATATAATTTGTATTGAATACAAATAACAAAAATTTTACTACTGTACTGTAGTCTTATGTATGCAATGTCTGGTATTCTAGTACTGTAATGTGTACAGAATAATCAATACTGTATTTTAAATTCTTTATTAACTTTTACAATATATTGTAATACTGTATAGAATTATTATATCAGTACATACTGTATACAGTAGTACAGTATATATCGGTATACAGTACATCAAAATTATATACTGTACAGTATATTGAAATATACAGTACAGGTAAATATGAATGAAATATTGGATTGATTTTAAACATTTATATTTCAAAGTTGCATGTACATTTGTTATAGTGTAGTTTGCACATTGCAATATATGAATGTTTAAGGATTATTGAAGAACCTTTAAGAATATAATTAATTTGTATTGAATACAAATAACAAAAACAATTCTCATTTGTTATGTAAGATGTAATCAATATTTTGAAAATGATTTTATGTTTATTTTTTTTTGTTAAGAAGTTATGAACAATTTTGGTGTTTATATTTATTTTAAGTAATTTAAGTAATTGTAAATTAATTGAAAACATTTGCCAAATGAATGAATAAAATGCCTAATATTTCGATACACAGTAATGTATTTATTTGCCCGGTATATGCACTGAATTGATATTTATTTGTATAGATACCGTATCATATACAATACCATATGGCATACCGTACGCCGTGTATCATAACTGAACGGTACAGTGTACTTTACAGTGTACTTGATGCTATCATTTGATAAATCAATATATTGTGACGAATACCGGTATTCCTGTACATAGTATACATATGTATGATATGTGTCAGTAATATATGGTTTAAGTTTTACAAAACTATATTGATTTGATTTAGATTTGCAAAATATGACTTATATCATACNAAATCAATATATTGTGACGAATACCGGTATTCCTGTACATAGTATACATATGTATGATATGTGTCAGTAATATATGGTTTAAGTTTTACAAAACTATATTGATTTGATTTAGATTTGCAAAATATGACTATATCATACACTGGCACATACAGTATAACAATGTACTAGCGTTTTACTACTGTACTGTAGTCTTATGTATGCAATGTCTGGTATTCTAGTACTGTAATGTGTACAGAATAATCAATACTGTATTTTAAATTCTTTATTAACTTTTACAATATATTGTAATACTGTATAGTATTATTATATCAGTGCATACTGTATACAGTAGTACAGTATATAACGGTATACATCAAAATTATATACAGTACAGTACAGGTAAACATGAATGAAATGTTGGATTGATTTTAAACATTTATATTTCAAAGTTGCATGTACATTTGTTATAGTTGTAGTTTGCACATTTTCAACCCTTATGCAGACTATTGACTCTGGTATAAGATTTTGTGAAAACATTGTCAATATATGAATGTTTAAAGATTATTGAAGAATCCTTAAGAATATAATTTGATATTATATTATACGACTGTGTATAATAAGTGTATATAACACTGCGTATAACATACTGTTGTATTGCATTTAATATACAATTTGTCATTTGGTTTAAAATTGAGTTTATAATACAGTAATTACAGAATACGTGTAATCATGAAATATAAAATAAATATGAATATAGTGAAATACTGGTGCAGTATTACTGTTAGTGTATTGTAAGCATACTAGTATAATGATCGAGATAATTATAACTAACTATAAGATTGAATATAACTTAAATGATAGTATTGCCAACATTTGGTTACATTCCTATATAAGCTTATTATAATAAATGATGATATTTTAATTGAATAATCTTGTTGACCTTATTAATAGTATTGTGTTAATGAGTTTGTTTGAAAACTGTAAGCACAAACTGTAAGCACAAACTGTAAGCACAAACTGTATAGCACTGTAAGCCTTACAGTTAGGGTTAGAGATAAGGGGTGTTGTGGTGATGAAGTCATATGAATGAATGGAGACGTTGTTTGTGTAGTCATATGGATATGGATAGCGCTTATGCAATGCTTTAGCAAACTTTGAATCCTTGAAAACAATAGCAAGTAATGCGGTATTGCATACAAAATCAGTACTCAATTAGTACTCAATTAGTGTTACTTATAGTGACTTATATATAGACTTATATAGACTATTGTCATAGTATTCATACCGTTAGCAGTGGTTAGGGCTATAGTGAACACTATCAACACTATTACCTATACTTTTGACGTCCACTTGAGTGTTGAATCGATGCTCAGAGGGTTGACTGTATTGAACACTCGCGTTGTCTCCACTCTTACCACTCTTTCCACTCGTAGTCATCGATGTATTGATTTGGTGCACAGTCTTAGCCATAGTCACAGCCAGTGTCACAGCCATCGACTGATCCGTGGCTTAGCTCTTCACTCGAATCAGTTCTCGCAGTCATTTGTGGCCAAAAGCATCGCAAACAGTGTTGTCTCGCAAAGTGCCGCTCGTCTCAACACATCCCAAGACATGCCTCCAGTGACCATCAGACCAGAGGAC